AGAGTACTCGCTCCCCAATTACCAGCAAGTTCAAGCATCTTAGGCTGTTTTCCCGCTGATTTGGCCAATCAGTGGGTCCTGCTTAGAAGCTACGCAATGATGTTTTTTATATGACGCTTTTCAATATCTCCCGTTGCCATTTCGCGTTCGGATCAGGTTGCTGTATTGCACTTGTGCGCAGCGTTTCCTTGTCCAAAAGAGCATCCACTCTGCAGCGATTGTCCCATCGGTCATACAAAAATTGAGTCCTCTCCAAGTATCAGTAAATCCCAGTGGCTTGCCAGGAAGAGCTTCTCCAAGTTTCTACCATTATCGGATTCAATATATACATATCTAAGACTCTAACTAAAAGGCATAGTTCACGGTAAAAATGGTTTCTGAGATTCCCCACACGATGAATTTGAGGCCCCCGCGTATACCATATCTCGCACTATTAGATCGGAAAACGCCTATTTAGGGAGTTATAAAGGTTCAAAGATTGACCCGTGTGTATCCTCGGACGAGCTTCACCGGCATTGTAGAGGCTGCACCGATCATCAAAGAACCCAGGAAAGCTGGTAGGAAGTTCAAACAACTTGTCATGAACAATAGCGCGACAGACAAAGACAGTTCCGTACAGTTCTGGGTTGATGTAGTCAGGCTTTGTGTCATTGCAATAACTGAAATCTCGTCCGAATACCCATTCGATGTTATTTCCGTCATGGTAATCTCGTCCAACCTCTATTGTCCCTACTTTTGAGGAACCATATTTTTCTCGAATTCTCTCGCTTTCTTCACTCCGATGAACTATTCTCAATCCATACTTCCGCTTTTCGAATAAAAACGGGTACCTCCAAATTATCGTGACTTGTGCCTTTAAGTGATAGGGCATCATCCCACCCAAAGAATTGAGCGCATGGGGTGGGCTTCTTGCTTCACTCTTTTTGCCATTTTCCATCAAATGAAGTCTAATAGCGCATTCAATCGTCTTCACGACACAGACATAGTGTACTCCCATTCCTGGAACAAGCGTATTACATGGCTCATAAAAAATCTTCCACGAATCGGCTCGTCAGAACACACAATTAAAGGCGCCTGGGTATATTTGCGCGGTTGCCGGGAGTGTATAGCTTCCCGGAAGGAATATCAATCACTAAGGTAGATATCAAAAGCGTGGCTGAGATAATCAAGCATCACTCGAGCCAGTTACCATTGTTTTTTGCTCTGGATGGCTCTAAATCTGAAGCTTTGTCGACGATTTGCGTCATCGCAGCCAGTCAGAGGTGAATCTAATTCTCGAATTCCTGAAAACGTTGTCAATGTTGATTTCGCGACGAAAAGGTCTAAATCAGCCTCTAACTTTTCGAAAATTCGATTCTCCCACTCTTTTCACGAACTCTCCGCTCGGCTGAATATTAAGTGATCATTTTAAAACTAACCTTCTCGCTGACTGGTTGGTTTAGGCTTTTCCTTTCCTTGAAAGTGGTTCACGATAGAAAATCCTCTTGCAGACAATTGTTAGAAGCCTATAAGTAGACTTCTCCAAAATCTTTTCTAGAGATCAGGTTCACTGGAAGTTTTGTTGGTGAGTTGGATGGGATTTTTTGAAGAGTTTCTAGCATGGTATGTGGATTGCAAATCTGAAATGCTTCACACCTTGGTACTACATTAATCATTGGATTGTATCTACGGAACGTTTCCATCACAGAAAATCTGAAAGGATGGCGATTTATGGACGAGACTCGAACCCGTGCTTGTACTACTACTCATTCTCGTATCCGTAGAGCACGGGGCTGGGAAAGCACAAGTACGGGTTCGAGTCAGGTTCTAGACTAATGTTTTGTCCATCCAACCTCTCCAGAAGTCCATGATTGATCGAGAGCGGTCAAATTGAAAAGCTTAATCGCGACCGTGACAAAGGCGTTTGCTTCTCGGCCCATCACAATAGAACATTTAAATTAAGAAAGAAAAAAGAGCTCGAGCTCCCCGTTCACCTATGGGGATGCACCTATGTATTTTTCAAAATCTCATGTTGAGCATCTGAATGGGGCTAGGCGTCTGAGAACGGAGCAACTTCCATTATGAGTTCTACTTTCATGAAAGCTTTGAGAAATCGGGATGAGTACCCAAATACCTCCGGAGGCTTGCTCCCAGTCAAACTTCTGCTGCACTCGTTTTCGCTTTCCATTCTTAGACTCAAGTGATCCTTTGCTGAAATCTGGACGACTTAGTTATACGCTCACAAGCCAGGCAGTTCCAGATGGAAAGAGATCAGAGTAAGCACAACGAGATGCCTTCCCTGAGGCACAATTTTTATGTTGGGCTATGCATCGTATGTCCACGACCGCTCATCAGACAGACGCGAGCGCTTTGTATATAGTAAGGATAGTAAGGATCTTCCGAAATGAGTTTGTTTCTTACATCGGATTAGCCATAGAATGTTTTGCCCTGCGTACTGAATTTAGATAGTTATCAAATGAATTGAAGGATTTACGTCGAGCTCCTATTCTTCTGTGACAAAGTCACAATGCAAGTTGATCCTAACCTTATTATTTTCGAAACAAATGCCTAATTTTCAGCTACAACCTTTTGGAGTAAAATAGCCCAATTACGTGAACACTACAAACTCATTACAGAGTGCATGCGCGTACATCTACACTAGCGAGATCTCGAAGTTTTGTCCTCGATTTGGCAATAATAATCCATTAAGAGTTGATCCTATCCCCTTATTGAGCTCACTGGCGTGTTTCTGCAACTGAGTAAACTGGTTGATCAACCGAGGCCAGATGATAGTCATTGCTATTATCGTTTTGCAATGACACCATCAATGGTCCATGTCCTTAGATCGTTTTATGTTCATTTGTATAAGCCGTTGTGTAAGATTCTCAGGTCTCTGATGGTTGGATAAGTTCTTTGGCAGATGACGTCGGAATGGAAAGCCTACATACGTGTCCCCTTATTGAGTCGTTAATCTTGACAAGGGTCGTCGTAATCTATTAGCGAGGGATGGGGTGAATTTCGTTCTCCTTGTTTGGTATTTAGCTTGACAGGCCCGTATCAACACAATTCTGCTTTATTTCTCGTCAACTTGCTCTATTACCCCACCTTATCCTTTGGAGCGTATCAAAATGTCAAGGCTACACCTACACCAAACACTCTCAAGTTGAGAAACCTTGTAGAGTTCCGTATCACCGCTATAAGCTCTTATCGCTTTCAGTAATCCGTTAGCTGAGATTCACTCGCCCCTGTATCACACACTAAAATAGAACGATCCGCCGCCATACTCAAAAAAGCTGGTAACAACTGATAACAAACAATAACAACTTGTAATAATAACTGTTATCAGACTGTCGCCAACCATAAGCGGTCCCGGCAAACTCCACAATGGCTTTGGAAAAGTCAGGCGTATTGTAGTATCGAATTTCATAAGGCCAAGTTGATTTGAACTAATGAGCAACGCTTCGATATTCGTTAGTATGCACGCACGTCTTCTACGAACACTTCTACCAAACTATATAAATGGAGCAATCTAATGGTAATATGGAGGGAGTCTTTATAGTTCGACTGTTCCGTTAAATGCTTGGACACCGCCTTTCTTGAAATATTTGAGATCTAACAAGTCTCAAACGTTTTTCGTCTCTTCAGTCCTGGTCTGCATTTTCTACTGCACTCCGGCTTTATTCCAGATGACGGTTGCAAATGAAGTCAAACTTGTGATTTTCGACAAAGATGGTACCCTAGTCGATTTCCATCGTATGTGGTTGCCTTGGGCAGCGAATACGGTACAATTGTGAGTCTTTTTCTAGATCTCTGCAGATTTACAACGTAGTTGTTAAACCGAAATCGAGATGTTTAGATTAGAAAGAGCCACGGGACGACCTGTGGGTGCAGCTGTCTACAAGACCCTTGGTGTGGATCCGATCCAGGGCAAAGTAAGTGAATTGATTTTGTTACGGGCACAAGGTTTCGATGCAATCGTCCTAGGGTGTTTGAAAGGCTTCGGAAAAATCATCTAGTCATTTCAACACAAAACCTCTCTTATTTATAGAGCAGTTACTTTTTGAGTCCATTTGTCGGTATGTCGGTTTCTCGGTTTGTCGGTCTGTCCGTCCGCAAACTTTGTGATTATGATGAAGGTAGTGATATGGAAAACCCAGCTCTATCCTACGTTTCCTCCTTATATGTAAGGCAGTAACTTGGTGGTTAGGTTAATGGAGTAGGGTTAGTACTACGGAGTGATGTGAGCCATGTGGAGTGAAGTGGTTACTTCAAAACTGCGATTTCGATCTGTACCGGCATCGAGCTATGTATGCCTGTACCCAAATGGAGGTGATAATGTGGTTGGGAGACCTCCGCTTCTTTTTCAACATCGAGCGCTAGAGCGCAATTGTGTCCATTCCTCGCCGGGAACATACAGTTTTTTGAACTGCGCCTCAGGAGGAAAGGAGCACCGGGATGGGTGAGTCAATTGAACATTCCATACCACATTCTGGCTCTTTGCACGAGGAAATCATCTCACACCTACTCTTCCTGAGGCCTAGATTAATACGATATTCGTTCCCCTAGAACCATTTCTAAGTACGGGTAAGGTCGGAAACCCCTCCTTTCCTCTGTAGCTCTCAGTGTTAGACAGAGGCTATGCCCTCCTCCCCCCCCTCCCCCTAACCACATTTTCTAACCACTTTGTAAAAGTAAGGAGTGTGGCCTGGCGTAAGTGGACGACCCGACGGGTAATTATATAAGTGGTGCAGTATCAGTAATCATAGAGTACCCTTTGAGCAACGACGCCTTCTCATCACTCGAGCGGTGCACTGGTGCCACTCTCATTCGAGGCACCATCTCTTCTAGTCGTTCGCAGAATACTCTTGTTTTTCTTGTATCCGGTGTGAAAGGAGGGGTGGCAGGATTCAAGACGCCATCTTTTCCAGTATACTCCTGCTATCCCAACAATACCCTCGGGGTGAATCTCACACTATGAAAACCCAGTAGAACCTGGAAAGAACGAGATCATAACCCTCCTCTTGGCGTGGCCGACTTGCCTTGCAACGGGTTACATGAGATCCCATTTTCATCGTGAGCGGTTATTGAGTCTGTCCCTATCACGTTCGTTTACGGTCTAGGAGCTTCTCACTCAAATCGACTCGCACACGACGCTCGTGCTCAGTAAGAGAGTGTCCATAAAGTGCAGGGAACGTTGCACGAAAGCTACCTATGCGTGGGATGCCATGGATAGTGGAACGTAGAGTAAACGTTGTCATTTCCCTCCCTCCTTAACTTTATGAGGGATTGCTCCGATTGAAGACTGGAACAGTGCTGGTATTTCTGAAAGGACGTGGGCATTCGTTATGGGTGCTTAACTGAGAAAGATCTTTCTGCTAGCAAAGTGATCGTATATATAATATGTAGCAGGTAACAAGAGAGGACAAAGTCTGCCCATGGACGACTGAAGCCTATCGGTATGAGTTAGGCTCTGACAGGCAAAGCAATAGGATTGCAATAGAGAAGGGGGCGTAAAGGAGGTGAAAGCGGTAGTCGTGTCGGTTGAATGCAGTTTGGTCGATGACCACTTCCAACGACGAATTAACGGTATCCCTCCCCCGTAATCTGTCCTACAGTTAAAAGATCCCGATTCGGCGCATCCGCCCTTTTCAACAGCTTCAGTGTTGTATGATAAAATTTTCTAGAACCTTTCGGACACCCTAAGAAGACGCGAAGGCTTAATGAGGGAAGAACATTCATACGATCGTGTACTGTACAGTTCTAAAAAGGAATGCCAAATATTTGTGTTCCTGATATTCGTCGCAAAAAATTATCTGATCTTGTCTTTTACATTTCTCGAGCAGTGATAGTCGAGAAACGATTAGTGTTGAATCAGCGTTTATCGTCGATCCTATAGAACTGGTGTTTTGATGTAGCCGTGGTGAAGCGATTAAGTGTATAAGAGGATGAGTTTCAAATAAAAGTTAATTGAATAATACTCTTAGAGGAGGGAGTGAGGAGGCGAAAATTTGGGGATTGGAGAGTTTTCGTGCTTCTGTGGTGTTAAGGATGTGTTTAGGATGGTGTCGTAACTATCATTATTGCACTCGTGAGAATGAAAAAGATGATTAGTGGGGAGATGAGGGACTGAAGGATGGAAGTTTACATGTTTGGAGAAAGTGAAAGTATTTTGGAAAATCGAGATAACGAGAGCCAAATTGTCCGCATTTGTATTGCTGCCCCTTATCCGGAGGTATATCCAGAAGGATTCTCTGCCAATGACGTTATCGAGCATTAATTTCAATTCTGTTACATTAATATAAGTGCGGCAGCATTTCGATAAAGTTCAAGTTCGTCAAAAAAAATAAGAGAAAAAGGGGATATTGTTTGTAAATCTTTGTATATGTCACAGTTAATGATGTAGCCCCTAGACGGCTTATGCTGGTGCTACTCTGCTTCTGAGGTATACCCTTTGCAGAAGATTGTCTGTCGGGTAAGGATGGAGCGTTCGAAAGTTAGGTGATGTGGGATAGTTTTGAGAGGTAATATAATTTTCAGTTGGATCGCGCTTGCATGTTCCTCGATGACGCAAGCATAGGTAATTCGGAGACGAAATGTCCGCCGCTCGCCTCATGGACAGCCCCGATTCGATTTTCGGCAGTCGTTCTCTGAAAAAATAACCTAGGTGATTGTGCAACCCCATTGAAACTTGGCAATGAGATTAACAAGTGGCGAGTCGGGCAAACCTACCGTTTCGCTTCTTTGAAACAGCGATGCAGCTCAAGTGTTAGTTTCGCCATTGCAAAATAGACGATTTCGCCGGTCAGATGAATTGCGATTTGTTAGATATCGGACTGCAGTTGAAATCGGATCAAAAGAAACGGAGAGACTGAAACGACTGGGAGAATGGAAGACCGACTTCGAAATCCAAACCGACATCCATACTTAAGAAGGTGGAAGACCCATGTGCTGGCTAGTTTGGACGTTCATTCACCGATCATTTGCTGTTGATAATAAAGAATAAAGTTCCTGGCATTAATCAATCCCGTTTAAGAGATGCGCCCCCGCACTCCACTTTCATTCAGAATCGTAGTAGCCTAATGAGCGCGTATGTGGCCTATACTTGCGGTGGCCAGCCGATGTACAGGTCAGAGCTTTCACCCTCCCAGACGAGTCTAGTACCAACTGACCGACCCCGGAGGGATGAAAGGTCTGGTTGGCTTAGGTGGATATCGACCTAGGATTCGAACCCGTGACTGTGGGCGTATGAAGTGCGCCACCTGCCACTGCACCACCTTGCCCTGCTTTTGGTTATATGCCTTCGGAATTTTTCTATCAAAAATCTTTCCTTGTGATATTAGTCGAGCACCAAAGGTATCCGCGTACTTTTAGTAGTCACAGTGTTACGGGAAGTCATGACACAGAAACTCACTGGGATTTTCACAGGGATCCTTGTAAATCCGTCATGATATCCCTTCCAAGCATTCTTCTAGTATCCATGTATTATAGAAACTAGAAGACTTTGATTAACATTTCTTTCCATAGCAATTGACACTCTGTTAAGCCAGTTCCTTGTCGCTTTTCTATTTTCAAAATTATGGGAGCACAAAAGTGTGATCTGAAAGAACGCCTTTGTCTACCAACTGTCCCAGAAAAATCTAACGACTAGACTCTCGCGACTGGGAATCTACGAGGAGAATGATCGTACCATGGATATTGGTGATAGCTAGTTTTTGTGCCAGCTCCGCAGATTGTGCAGTCTCCCGGTCACCCAATGAGGCCATTTTTGCCGTCTCCAGATGTTCGCCATGATGGCCTGCTCGGCTTTAAGCGGATGCACAACCTTATGTGGGCCGGAATGTTCTTGCTGATTGGTTTCTTGTAACATTTCGCCCG